CCACCCCAGCCCCGCTGGGTGGCCTCGGGTGTGGGACCGGAAAAGTAGAGTCATCCTCCTTTTCCTCCATCTCGTCCATGTTGAAGAGGTCGGAGTTAGCATCGCCCTCTGTCTCCTCCTGACCTGTTTCAAAGTCCCCTCCGTCTACCAGTCCATCAAAGAGTGGCGACATGACCGGGGACTCCTCTTCTATCGTGTCCGCCCAGTACGTGGTGGCTTGCAGCTGATGGCCATCACCTGTTATCGCTGTTGTGGACAGGCACGGGTTCTGGCTGTTTGTGACTGCCACTCTCAGCCTCCTTTCTAGGATTTTTTCTGGCATGGAGGAGCAGTGTTGACATGCCTGAGGGTTCGCCAGTGACATTTGTGCGTGTTTAGTGCCCATATATATTATACACATTGGGTGAGGATCCCTGCTCGAAATGGAGGCCCCGCATGACGAGGGGCACAGGCGGGATACAGCCTCTTTAGCCTTAGGTTCCGACACTTTGGTGGGGGTGGGTGCCATAGCCATGATAAGGGAACAAGTTTGCCGTGACACGTTAACTGTTCGTCGCTAAAGGTAGCCACGAGGTTAAAACCGGGCTAACTGCTAGTCTAAATAAACGCTCGTTGTAACACGTTAGCTGTAATGGAAAACCCATAAAGGTACCAAGCTAATGCTACCTCTAAGGAAAGCTAGCTCGCCTTGACGCGTTAGCTTGCGTTACACTTGCAACCACTCGATTAGTTCAAACTGAGCGGTGGGAACAGCTCGCCTTGACGCGGTCATGCTCCCAAATGTAACAAAGTTATTTCTTGCGAAGCACCAACTTACTAAACACGATTCGAGTTGACACCAGGAACTGCGTTCGGCAACGTACTCCTTTACGGGATGCCTGAGAACTGTTTAGCAGCTAACCTAGCTAGCCTGACTGTGCTGAGGGAGCTTGTTGTAGTTTCTCACGGGAAGAAAGCGAGAATGAGTAGGAGTTGGTCGGTTGACTGTGGTGTCATGGTGGGGGCAGAGCCCTGAGCACAGCTCAACTGGTCTGTCTTTGACAGACGTAATGTCATTGGAGCTTCCGTAGATGGTCACGCTGGAGCGTTTCCCATAGTGAAACACCAAACGAAGTTAGAAAAACAGCTCACTTTTTCCTTTATGTGTTTTAGTCGGGTTAGACATTATACCTTAAAATGTCCCTTTTCTTCACGTAAATTTTACTTGAACAGTAGTTTTTTTATATCCTAATGCATGCTCAGTAATCCGGGTAGAAAAATCCAAAAAAGTTCAATCTAGTCCTCTGGACATTCAAAAAAAACAAAAAACAAAACAAAGCAAAAAAATCTAGAAACGTTTCGTCTCTCATCCAAGAGACTTCCTCAGTCTGAGGTGCTGTTTTCAGCTCTTTTTGAAACAATGGTCTCTTTTGATGACACATCACTCTTTACGTGCATTCCTGTTGATGATGCAGTAGAGGTGGTCAGTTTAAGATTAAAATCAGACACCACTCTGAGCAGCAGGACCACGCTTTCCACAGAACAACTGGGTCAACTCTTGAAACTGTGCCTGCAGTCAATCTACTTCACATATGGGGAGCAATATGATAGGCAGAAACATGGGTGTGCTATGGGGTCTCCAGTTTCTCCTATTGTTGCCAACCTGTACATGGAGGAGGTAGGAAAGAGAGCCTTGACATCCTTTTCAGGGACACCACCAAGTCATTGGTTCAGGTATGTTGACGACACCTGGGTTAAAATTAAATCTCAGGAAGTCCAACATTTTACTGACCACATCAACTCTGTGGATAAATACATCAAGTTCACACGTGAAGATGTAAAAAATGGCAAGTTGACTTTCTTGGACTGTGAGGTCTCAGTCTCTGATAGAAGACATTTGCAAACTGAGGTGTACCGCAAACCCACACACACAGACCAGTATTTGCAGTTTGACTCCCATCACCCTTTGGAGCGCAAGTTAGGAGTCATCAGGACTCTGTACCACAGAGCAGACAGCATCCCCACTAACTCGGGAGCCAGGCAGAAGGAGAAATCCTACACAAAACAGGCTCTAGAGCAATGTGGATATCCTAACTGGACCTTCCTGAAAGCAGAGAAGAAACCCAAACAGGACTCCAGTCAGCCATCAGGTGAAAAGGAGGAACCCAGACCCAGACCAGTGGTCATTCCATGTGTTGAGGGAGTATCAGAGAAACTGAGACGTTTATATTCTAAACATAACGTCCCAGTGGCTTTTAAACCCCAAAATACATTACGGCAAAGACTGATTCATCCCAAAGATCCAGTCCCCCGGCACAAACAGAGTAATATTGTGTATGCTGTTCAGTGTCAGGAGGGCTGTGATCAGTCTTACATCGGGGAAACTAAACAGCCACTGGCCAAAAGGATGGCCCAGCACAGAAGATCAACATCATCAGGCCAGGATTCTGCAGTCTACACTCATCTCCAGGCCAGTGGTCACTCTTTCAGGGATGAAGATGTGCACATCCTGGATAGAGAGGAACGATGGTTTGAGAGAGGAGTAAAGGAGGCCATCTTTGTGAAAAGAAACCGTCCATCATTAAACAGGGGTGGAGGCCTCCGGGTTCAACTGTCCCCCTCTTACAATGCTGTGATTGCTAGTATCACTCAGCCCTCTGTGAACAGTAAACAGCCATCAGGTGCTAATGATCCATTGTTAGGCTGATGGTCTTTCTTGAGCATGTGATCAGCTGGTTTTGGTTGTCAGCAGCAAAACTGGTTGATCCACTCTGAGAAGGTGCTATTTAAGAGACGGAGCTGAAAACAGCACCTCAGACTGAGGAAGTCTTTCGGATGAGAGACGAAACGTTTCTACATTTTTTTGTTGTTTTGCTTTGTTTTGTTTTTTTTGAATGTCCAGAGGACCAGATTTAACTTTTTTAGATGTTATGGTGATGGTTTTTGCACTTTGATCATTTTGGCTGAAATTCAGTGGGGGTGGGTGTAACAGAGATGAAAAGTTTATTGAATTTCACCAAAACTGATGTGCAGTTATTAGTTCTCTGGAGTTACCTACTGGTAGTTAAGCACACTTGCATACAAAGGGTCCTTGAGGCGCGATCCCAGCAAAGGGATAGTGGAAGCTGGTGGAAGTAGGTGCAAGTGAAACCACTCTGCACTCAACATTGATTTAAAGCTCTATTTATACTACATTAACTAACCCATAAAATCTGTCACAGGAGAATGAGCACTGTTAATGTATTTTGTGAAAGTTTTGCCATATTTGTGTCAAAATAAAGACTTTGTGAATAAGATTTGCTCTGGTTAGCATGTTAAGCTAACAGAAGCTGACCGCTCGCTAGTCGTTTTTCTGATAGTAATAGGTTCTTTATCTTTTTGTCCGGAACAGATCCGTGCATGCAACTGTCGCACACATACTGATGGAATATTGTGTGTTGTTTATTATAGTGGGTAGGCTCAAATGTGTATGAATACATAAGAATGAGTTTTAAAAAGGTTTTACTGTTATAAGTGCCAGTTACAGGTGCTGTTTATCTACTGTTAATCTGTTTTGATACTGCTAACTGTGTTTTGAATGTTTTATGGGAAAAGAAAACCTGTTTTACTCTAAAATGTAAAATTGTTGCATGAACATATTGAGGAAGAAAAAAAAACTATACGATCATACATAAAAAAAGAAAGCAAAGCGATAGTGGAAGCTGTGCATGCAACTGTCACACAAATACTGATGGAATATTTCATGGTGTTTATTATACCAGATCCCAGCATTAAAGAGCATTGAAGAGCAGTCCTCTGTATGTGACCTGATTTTTGGTCATACTAGTGAAGAGAATCAATGCCCAGGGTTACACCAGATTTCTATGAACTTGTGCAAATAGTGACAAAAAACATGCTGCTCATATTAAATAATATCACAGTTTAACAATGGTTTAGGACTTGTGAGGGAAGTTATATCCATCCATCATCTTTGACCCGCTTCTTCCTTTTTGGGTCGTGGGGGTCACTGATGCCCATATCCAGCCATCACTGTGCGAGAGGCGGGAGACACCCTGGACAGGTCACATCACCTGGACAAAACTTTCACAGACACACACAAAGAGAAATGATACATCTTTCAGAAAGCTTTAAGTAAAGAATCTGTTCGTTCACAGCTGTCAGCTACCAACACCAACCATTCAACCACAATTTATTCTCTAGATTGTCTTCTGAGGAATTTTGTTAAAGTCTTTTTCAGCTTATGCAGTGCTTTCTTTAGAGAACAGTGTTGATGTACTGCAGCTTGAGTCTATTGCTGGAATTGTCTTGTAAGGAGAGTAGGACATCAGTCTTTTCTTTAATAAAGCCTTATCATTCACTCGCCCTCACGGTAAAATGAAGCCTTAATTACTGGCTTTAACTGATGCAGTTTTACCACCTCCAACAATTCATCAGTGCTTTTTCCCCCCACATTGTAAAGGCCGCTCTGCTGTTGTTTGCACTATATTTTAGCAGCTATTGATTGCTATTATAGTAAATTCAATGACCTCAATGGAACTCTGTCAGCAAATGCAGGTTAATTATCTCATGGTCAACCACTTTGGAATTGTCACAAAGACCTGTTTTTCTCTCTTTATGTGCCGCACTAAACTGCAAAAATAAATTATTAGTGTCTTTAATTGTCTAATAAGGTGTTATTTGGTATGTATAAAGTTGTACACAAGTGAGAACTAATTTATTCAAGAGTTCGTTCCTTTCACATTATAATTTCATTTAACCCATGCCTAAAACATGTAATGTTTCACATTATAAAACAAAAGTGTTTTTCCAAAAATAAAAATTAACACAAAGTTTATTTCTGCATTAAATGTATAAGACATTTGAAAATGTTCTTCAAAGTTTGAATTTCTATCTTTAACACAGCTGTCAGACATTTGACTGGCTTGAGATAAATTAGCTTTATAAGACGATGCAGAAGCTTATTGATGAGAGGAACCAAAGTTAGTGGAATTGATTTTGGATATTGTGTTTGTTTTCTGCAGGGACTCCAGTGAATCGGATTCCTATCATGGCAAAGCAGGTGTTGGATCTCTACATGCTCTACAAGCTCGTCACTGAAAAAGGTGGCTTAGTGGAAGTCATCAATAAAAAGATATGGCGTGAGATTACCAAAGGCCTCAACCTCCCTACCTCTATTACCAGTGCAGCTTTCACACTCCGAACACAGTGAGTACAATCCCCTGAGAAATTGCTTTTACTTTCTTTTACAATTGTCAGGTCAGTCACATGTTTGTGCCTAAAACAAATGAAATATTGTTATAAATCAGCTCTCTCTTGTAAATGATTCCTCGAGGCTCGATGGGATTTACCTGTCTAAATAAAGGTTGAATGAAAAATAATAAATAAAATTAAATAATGTTAGATAATCTAACAAAATCTAAAGTGAGTATCTGCAAAGAAAGTTTAAAGCAAGTCATTCATGCAGGCAGTGAGAATCGGCAGTCACCTCTCCTCCACACTAGCCCTCAGTAGCCAAAACTCCTCCTCAACAACGAGACACCTCAGGGCTGTGTCCTAAGTTCACTTTTGTACTTTCTATTTACACGACTGTACTGCCAAGCAGAGCTCATACGTCATCCTCAAGTATGCTGATGACACCACCATCTTGGGCCTCATCACCAACAATGACAAGAGAGCCTACAGAGATGAGGTGAAATCACTGGTGAAAGAGATGATAGTGGACTTTAGGAAACAGAGTGGAGGTCAGCACTCCACCATCAACATAAACAACACTGAGGTGGAGCAGGTCAGCAGCTTCAAGTTCCTCGGTGTTCACGTTACTGAGGAACTGTCCTGGACTTTACAAACAGACACCGTGGTCAAGAAAGCCTAACAAAGACTCTACTTCCTAAAAAGACTAAAGAAGTTTGGTACAAACACCAGCATCCTCACCAACATTTATAGGCACACCATGGAGAGCCTGCTGGCAGGCTGCATCACAGGGTGGTACATGAACTGCACCAGTCAGAGCCAGAAAGCTCTACAGTCTCTTGTTTATTGTGGGGGTTATTTTTCAGAAGACAAAAGTTCCAGAAGTGAAAATCCGCAAAGTAGCAATTTTAGATTTATTTGAGTATTTATATATATTTTAAGGCTTTATAAACTCTTCCCACAAGCTTGCAATGTTCTAAACTCTTAAACCTATGTCATTTTAACAACAAACACAGAGTAATGTAGCTATTAAATTTTACTTACCAGCTCAGCAAAACATCAGCAGCTCAGTTCTAGTCTGACTCGGTTCTGTTTCTGCTGACTTACCCTGCAGCGATGAAGCCCACAATCTATGTTCTAAACTCTTAAACCTACAAATTTTAACAACATACTTATATGTAGCTACTGAATTTTACTCATTAGCTCTACAGAACAGCAGCGGCTCGGTTCCGCTCCGACTTGGTCCCATTTCTGCAAACCTACCCTGCAGATTCTGGTCAGCTCTCTGGCTTGGGGTAGTGGCGATGAACTCAGGATAGAGTGCCAGACCTTCGGCGGTGTGCGTCCTGCTTGGAAGTTTTCATGGGCTGGCTACCAGCTCTCAAGATTCACTGATGAGTCTGGAGGTCCGGTTCTGCTCGGGTTCTGGTTAGGTTCTGTGGGTTCCGTGCGGCTCTCTGCATCCGCTGGGTGCCGAACTCACTGTGATAAGTGCCAAACTATTTCCAATCGGATCCGAAATTTCCCTCTACATATTTTAGCAGAAGGTAATGGGGCTTCTGGGCGGGGCACTGTTGGCTTTTGGGAAATGTAGTCTTTAAGAGTGGGGATACAGAGTCAGAGTCAGAGTCAGAGTTTCTTTATTGTCATTCGCACCTCATGTGGTACATGTGGTGGAGCGAAATTATGTACACAAGGTCCCAGTTACATCCAACAATAAAATGTCTAAGAAAAACAGTAATAACATCTAAGATATGAACTAAGAAAAACATCAACTAAATATACACTAAGCACTCATAACATAAAACATTGAACATCAGCACAAACATGAACATGAGTCTGTGAGCAGATGTGCACGCATGAACACATCAACATTGAAACAGATCAGCAGCAACATGAAACAGATCAGCAGCAACATGATATGGTTTTTCACAGTGATTATTCTAGTTAGCGATTCATGAGTCTAACAGCCTCAGGGTAGAAGCTGTTCCTCAGTCTAGTGGTTCTACACTTAATGCTCCTTAACCTCCTTCCTGAGGGGAGTGGGGCAAAAAGTGTGTGTGCTGGGTGGGTGGGGTCCTTCATGATGCAGGTGGCCCTCTTCCTGCATCTGGAGGTGTAGATGTCTGTGATGGTGGGGAGACTGATTCCAACAGATTTCTGTGCAGCCTTCACCACTCTCTGCAAAGTACAGTATAGGCTTATTGAAAGAAAACTACAAAATGGTGGCACCTGTCTATAGTATTTACATTTTTTGTTAACTTTTTACTGTATAATATGTACAGTACATGTCATTGTATGTACAGTGCTGTCCAAATCACATGAGTAAAATTATAGTTGACGATTGTGTGCTGTACAATTTTGTTTTTCCTCATGCTCATCTTATTTTGAAAAACGGCGATAGAGCGAGTCTGCAAAAGTCTAACTGTGAAGTAGCGAGGGACTACTGTACTACTACTGACTGCTACAGAGGGTGGTGCAAACAGCAGAGGACATCACTTGTAGCAGTCTCCACACCATCCAGGACATCCACCACAGCCGATGTCTACGTAAAGCACGCAGCATCATTAAGGACCACACCTACCCAGCACAAGGACTCTTCTGTCTACCACTCTCAGGCAGACAATGCAAGAGTCTGCCATCACACATGAAAAGACTCGCAGTTATTATCCACAAGCTGTCAGATTACTGAACTCTTGATAAATAACACTGAACGACTGGTAATAACATTGCATTAAGCCACATCTGTGACAACTAATTAGGCCCGAGCAGCGAAGCGCTGCGAAGGCCTATTGTAATCGCTCTGTTCAGGCCCGAGCTGCAATTTTTTTCCACCAAATGATTTGGCGTTTTGGGGGCCTTAACATGTCCCAAAAGTCACCAAATTTGGTGGATGCATCAGGACTGGTGAAAAATTACGTATTTTAAGGGCGTGGCAAAAATCGCAACAGAAATGGCTCAAAAGCACCTCCTAGAAATTTTCAAAATACCCTCCGCATTAACCTTAGTTTGTCGTAGAAACATGAAATTTGGTACACTTGTCCAATTCCCCAAGATGCACAGAAAACCCTCTGGCACCAATATTGTACGATAAACAGGAACGCGGCCATTTTGGAATGCCGACCCAATTTTTGCCGCCTTTTGAGCGGTTTACAGCCTCCGCATTTGAACAAACTCCTCCTAGGGATTTCGCTCAATCAGTTTCAAACTTGGCCATTTTGGTCAAAAGGCATGGGGGACGCAAAGTTAGCTAAATGGTTCATTTCGGAGCATGCTGAAGGGGCGGGGCCATACCTCAAAGTTTGACATCTCGCCATGAAAAACGAAACTCTACATGAAAACTGTCTGAGACATCAAACCTTAAATGCTTGATCCACATCTGGTCCCCTGCAAGACTGAATGGTCAAATCATGCCATAACTTAAGCCACACCCCCTGACAACAAAAAGTATAAAGTTTTACTTTGAACTATTCCTATCTGACCCCTGTTACCTGATCAGCATGATAGTGTGTCCAGTGACCGAAGACATGTTGGTGTAACTTGCTTTCCAACACTGACAGTTTTGGGTGGAGCATGTGGGCGGTGCAGCATGGCAAAGTAAGACATAACGCCGTCACCATACGTTTGGTTCTAAATTCCACAGTTTTGAACATAGGTGCACCAAAATCAGTATGATCGATCATTATCCACCCCTTGAACAGGAAGCCATGATAATTGGCCAATAGCTTCCACAGCACCCCCTAGAATATTTTAAAACCTGAGCCACAAGCCATTTTATGAACGATAATTCTGAAACTCAGTGAACATCTGTATCTTCTCAGGACCTATGAAAAAGTTTCTTGGAGTTCAGGTCCAAAACTAACAGGAAGTCGGCCATTATGGGTCAAAGGGTCATTTTTGGGCATTTCTAATTGCAAATTTTAACAAACTCCTCCTACAAAATTTGAAGGATTGCCTTTAAACTTGGTTGATATGCCCTTAAGACATTGGAGAATAAAAGTTATCTAAAGCTTGCGTTTTCGTATATGTTAAAGGGGCGTGGCCAGGTCTCAAAGTTTTGCTTCACGCCATAAATTTCCAAACACTATAACTTTCACATGGAACGACCAAAATGCACGAAACTTGGCATGACTCATCCCTGTTGGATGACTGACGATCCACTGTGGTCAGATTTTGACATCATCAAAGCCCCGCCCCCTCAGAACAGGAAGTCTCTTTTTTTTAACTTGGAATGCTCCCTCTTTGACTCCATTGACCTAATCAGGATGATCCTGTGTTAGAAGACAGATAATATGGTCTGATTTGATTTAAAGCACAAACCGTTTTTGCTTGAGGATGTGGGTGTGGCGGCGTGGCGAATTAAGAAATTATGCCGTTGTAATATGTTTGGCTCTAAATTGCACAGATTTCAGCCGAGGTGCACCAAAATCACTATGATAAATCATTATCTGCCCCTTGAATAGGTATCCATGATAAGTGGCCAATAGCCTCCACATTGCCACCTACATTATTCCTACAGTTATAGCTCAGTGATACAACATCCGATCTACACAGATTTATTGTGCGTCATCAATGAGGACTTTTAGACACATTGATATTGTGGTTTAACATATAGTGCGCCCCCTAGATTATTCCAAGAGTTATATCTCAGTGAAATATCATACGATCTAGGTCAGACTTTTAGTACGTGATTAGTGTACACTTCTGCACACACTGGCATTGTTGTTGAACTTTTGACTCTAGTGCGCCCCCTAGTTTATTCCAACAGTTATTTTTCAGTGAAATATCATCCAATATGTACCAGATTTTATGTGTGTGACCAGTGAGCACTTGTAGACACATTGGTATTGTTGATTCATGACATCACTTAAGCCCCACTTACGCAGAGAAAAAACTGTTGATTATTAGATGACACTTCCAGCTTCGCACTGTGTAATATATTAGACTGAAACTTTGTTCACTAACTGTTGATTACCACACATGACATGTTGAAAAGCATAAAGGATGTGCTTGTC